CATGTACTGAAATTGGCATGAAGATAACGACCAAAATAATGTTTGGACGAGTAGTCAAAGGCAATGCTTAGTTATATTGTGACTTTTACGGTAACCAGGAAATATATATACAGAGTCCAATAATATAGCTCAAAACAGATCTAGTAAAAAATCTTGGTCACTTTTAAAAAGGGAATTAACAACTAATCACAGGTTAGAATTTGAATTTTTTTCTCACCCATGATTCTCTGTCTTTGGCCTTTAAGCTAAGTACAACGCAGGTGTCTTTGACTCCCCTCGTCCTCAAATAGCTTGCAAAACGTATATCCGTTCCGTCCCACTTCAAAGTTCAACATCCAACCATGATTTGATCTTGAACTTGCTAACAGAAAACACGGATCAAGTTCTACCACCTCTAGTGTATTCGGCCAGATCCGAAGCGATTCATTGTTCGATAAGAGCTTGACGAGTTCCTCAATGAAATGATACAACTGCATCAGACTAGGGTCCTTAGTATAGCAAAGATATACACCTGGAATATACTGCAGTTCTTACTTATCGTTTACCAAGCCAATTACAAAATAGGTCCCACTCTGAAGTACACTTTGATATAGTAGCACGTTTTTATGTCCATTTAGACAACGTTTGAGGATCATATCGTAGCTCTGAACTAACATGAGAAGGGCCCGGAAAGAGGTAACGCCAAAAACCAAAGTACCTTGAATTTAAACTTTAAGAACAGTGAAATGACACAACTGCGTCAGACTTATCGTTTATCAAGCCAATTACCAAACAAATTCCCACTCTGATGTACAGGGTGAAATAAAAAGACTGCAACTAACTTCAGACTGCTGTCATTTCTAAGCCACTCGTCCGACAGCTGTTAATATTATTCCAGTGACAGCTCATTATATGGTTGACAAGCGTACAAAAGTATTTTGGTGAGAATTTTTCAGAAAAAATGTTATTCGTGATGGAATTCAAGCGTGATATTGTGATTTCTTTATATTTGGCTGGAAAACCACAAGTTAGAGCACTCCAGCATTTAAATGTGAATAAATCTTTTGTGTCTCGTGCCATCGCTCGTTACCGTGATACTGGAAGAAAACAGCAACATCAGCAGAATTGGTTCGAAAAGTAAAGAAGAGACTTGATCGAAAACCGCGTCACAGTGACCGAAAAATGGCTCATGAGCTGAACATATCGCAATATTCCATTCGGCAAACATCAAAAAATAAGTTCGGAGTAAAGCCATTGAAATTCCAAAAAGTGCAAGAAGTGGTGTAACAGAAAGAAAATAGACTGAAAAGAGCTAAAGAGTTGCTTCGCCTGGCCGAAAGTGGTGAACTGTCGAATTTGGTTTTCTCCGATAAGAAAGCATTCGTTGTACAACAGTTTGTAAACAAACAAAATGATCGTGTTTACTTGCCAAAGAGGTCAGCTGAAAATGTGGACCTTCGATTGGCTACCAGGTGTGTGTGGGCCGCCATAACAGCCGATGGTCGCTCTCGCGAAAATATTCTGGAGGGTGTATTAAAGCCTTGGGCATTCAAACATTTTGACCGCAGACCTTGGACATTCCAACAGGATTTAGCACCATCACACTCAGTACGCGCCACCCAAGAATGATTACAAACTGAGGTTCCTCTCTTCATTTTTAGTGCACAATGGCCACCAAAAACTTCGGATACCAATCTGTTGGACTATTGTGTCTGGAGTATTTTGGAAAGCAAGGCTGGCACTAAAAAATACCAAAGTGTTGATCACCTCAGGCAAGCGCTTCGCCGAGAATGGGCTAAAATACCGCAGAGCAACATTCGGGTAGCGTGCGACGGTTTCATTGGCGGTTTGAAGGCCATAATTCGTGTCAAAGGTCGCCAATTCGAACAAATCTAAACTTATTCTAAAATTTGATGCTATTTCCGACATTTTTGCTTTCATTCACTGAAATTAAAAAAAAAATGTAAAAATTATGGCGTTTGACTTTGTTGCAGTTTTTGTATCTCACCTTGTACTGCCTTTCGTATATTAGCACGATCTCCCCCCATGTCTGTTTACAATTTATCCAGTCGGTTTGGTAGAATGTCTGTTTTAACAGCATTTGAGGTCCATAGCGTAGCTCTGGGTAATTTCAAAGCAAGTACCATAACAAGGAAAGTCGAAATTTCGTCGATGCTTTGTGTCTTTAAGAAAATTCACATGCTAAACCAAATGTTTGATGAAGATTTTTAATATGCCATAACGACAAGAATGGAGTTTATATTCTACCATCCGCCATTATTTAACGTTCGGTGGCATATCCCTTACCCTATTACACTTTCCTCTAACACCAGATTTATTTTTTTGAACGCTACAAAATTACATGCATTTTTAGGTACATTGATCTTGTCATAGCTCTTTTTTAGAATTTGACTTGAAATGGTGTAATTGTATTTTCTCTTCACATTCAAACTCATCCAACAGACATGACTCTTTTTTTCGTTCTAATTAATTTATATTTTTTCATTCGTTTTATAACTTTTTCGACTTTTTTGTTTGTTCGCTATAGTTCTTGCGGTGGGTATTCATTTACATGTGTATGAATGTGTATGTACTTGTAGTTCATTAGCATTTATAATGAACTTAAAAAAATGTCCATACTTGGTTTTAATACCTCACATTATTACCTGTTCTAAATGAATTTTAGTTAACTTGTGTTTTTATCGTATGGAGGCCTTTTTTGTTGTTGTTTTACATTGTATGGTCTGATTATCCTTCTTGATTTATTATAATATATACATATGTATGTACAACATTTAAAGCAGGGCAAGGCAGAGAGCCTCAAAAATTTTTTGTGATTGTATGTGTTTTGAAATAACAACCCTGCTGCGAGCAAAGAACCATGTATCTTATATTACCACTTTATTTCTACAGACAATTGTACTAGTTCAAATTTCAACAATTTACGAGTAGAGTTTGGTTTGGGACACTGATTGTAGTGTATTTCTACTGACAATGTCGACAGTTGGCTTTTCTTTTATTGTCATTAAAACATATTGAATATATACACATTTTTATGTAATTTTTTTGTAGATCGCATCGAAACAACGCGTTTTTATCGGCAATTAATTTGTTTTGTGTGTTTTATTGTTAAAAAGGTGATTATTTATTAAATATATAAACAAAATGAGTAAAAGAAATTATAAAAGATTAATTAAAAAACAAAAAATATTGTATAAAAACAGAAGTTTGCAATGTGAACAAGAAAATAGTGAAAGTGAATTTGTGTCAAACGGTGGAGATTTTATAAATGATTTCGTGGAAAATGGAATGGAAGATTTTGCAGTTCCGAAATTAATGTTGCGGGACAAACTTAAAAAGTGGTGCATGGAAACGAATCCTTCAAAGAAATGTTTGGAAAGTCTTTTATCAATATTAAAGGAAGAAGGTCTAGATGTTCCGCTCACTAGAGAGACTTTGGTGGGCAGAGCAAAAAATATGTTAACGAGAAATGTTGCCCCTGGAATTTATTGTCATATTGGCATAGAAACACAACTACGAAAAGTTGGTCACATTTTGGAAAAGTATGAGGAAGTCGAACTAGATATAAATATCGATGGAATTCCACTGTTCAAAAGCTCTCGTGTGCAATTGTGGCCAATCCTTTGCAGAATCGTTAATATTCAGGAGAAAACAAAACCGTTTGTTGTTGGATTATACTTGGGAAACACCAAGCCGGGTAGTGTGAATGTGTATTTGAAAGACTTCATTGATGAAGTGATTCTACTAAAAGGTCAGTTTATCATACAACAAAAACATTTAAAATTGAAGTTTCGTTGCTTAATATGTGACGCACCAGCAAAAGCTTTCGTTTGTGGAGTTCCTGGACATACATCAACACATGGCTGCACCAAGTGTACTCAAATTGCGAAGAAGGTAAACAATGTCTTGACTTATAGTAGCGAGAGTGGTTCCCTAATCTCCGATGAGGACTTTGCTGTGCGAAAGTATCCATGCCACCATTCCCAAATGTTCAAAGAAGAAAAAACTCCTCTCGAAGAAATTGGATTTGGTATGATAAATCAGACTCCTTTAGATAGCATGCATCTCATTGACCTCGGAGTCACCAAAAAAATGCTAACCAGAATAATGCATAATAAAACTGAAAAGAAAACCTCAAAACAAAATATTTCAAAAATATCTTCTGAATTGGTGAAATTTAAAAAATACATTCCAAGGGAATTCCCAAGAAAACCCAGGCCTTTAGATGATCTTTGTCATTGGAAAGCGACTGAATTTCACCAGTTCCTTGCTTATACAGGAATTATTGCTCTTTATAATAATGTACACGAAGATATTTATTATGAATTTTTAACTTTACATTGTGCTTATCGACTTCTTAACAATGCACGACATATGGATCAAAATATTGTTCAAGCTAATAATTTGCTTCAATTATTTGTCGAGAACTTCTCAACTGTATTTGGTTCGAACAGCATTTCTTTTAACGTTCATAATCTGCTTCATTTGGCTTCTTGCGCAGAAAAGTATGGTCCCCTTATTTCGTTTTCTGCATATGCATTTGAAAATAAACTGCAAACACTGAAAAAACATGTTCGAAAACCATCACATATCTTTCAACAAATTATTCAAAAGGAAAAAAATTGCATGATTGTCAACACTATTCAGGATGGGTTAAAATATGAAAAAGGTGTTATCGTTGGAGCTTTTGTAAATGATTGCTACATATCCTGCAAAGAACCAAATAATATTTGCGCGGTGAATTCATGCATTCCAATAAAAATTGATAATATAAAGAAAAAGGGCGAAATATATATTGAAGGCAGTCGAATTTTGGCATTAGAAAGTTTCTACGAAGAACCGGTGAATTCTTGTGAGATTGGTATTTTCAAAACGAATCTGACTCTAGGGGAAAAAGAGACATTTTGTATTAAAGACATTCAGTTCAAATTTGTATGCTTGCCAATTGATTCTGATTTTGTAATCGTGCCCATTTTACATTCCTGCTTTCCAGAGAAATATCAAGCACAAATTTTTACCTCCTAAGTACACAACTCCCGCACATAAACATGTCGAACGAAAATGCCAACCCTTCCAAAGGAAAAATGAAATATTTTGCTCCACAAGGTAATCTCCAAAGATTATCACTAAATTTTTAACAGTATAACAAAATTGAGTTCATATTTTTGATAGCTAATGCAAAATGTTCTTCCTGCCAAGAAAATGCCAGAAAACTAGACACGATTATTGATATTTTGGCGGAGCATAAAGTTTTACTGGATCGTGTTATTTCTCAGAACGCATTTGTGGACAATATTATGACAATTTTTCCAATTGAATCGGAAGAAAAACTTCGAGAATTTGATCGAATTCTCGCAACACAAGCAGATCTATATGTACGTATCTGCGTTTTGGGAATAACAAATTCATAACTAAAACAATTTTTACAATTGCAGACTCGACAAATGAAAAATCTCATTGCAGGTAACGCTGAACGTAATTTGCATAAAGTATTTGGAAGAAATATTATTATGGATTTTAATGTTGACGGAACTTTCGGGAAAAAAGGTCTACGAGATTTTGGTAATGTACTTGCCGCCATAATAGGTAAAACGTGTTTGTTTTTGTTTCAAATAAGTAATGCTAAAATATAGTTTATAAAACAGAAGTTATATCAACATTTAATAAATTACCTGACAAGACTTTACGAGCAGCGTTCCAACGCCAAAAGAAAAAGTATTTTAAGATCAACAAACGAAGCAGGCGCACCGAAGAAAAGGAACAAGATGAAAATGATGAAGAACCACAAATTTAACTGAATGTTTTTATGTTATACTATATAATTTTAAAATCCTAGTTCTAACACTATTCAGTTTTATTAAAATAAGACAAGGTTTGGCCAGCCTTGAAAAAAGTGAGCTATATATGTAATCCATTTCTTAATTTATTACCTTGCCTAAAATTCGCAGACTGTTTTAGATTAATTAAATATATTGTGTGTAGATTGAACTGTGCTTTACTTTTGTTTTTGTTACTTAATAACTGCGTTAAAAATGTAACGTTGTTAAATACTTATTCTATTACAAGCATTTTCCTAAAAATCTCAAATGACTATTTGGTTCGAATGCCTCCATATGATCTCGAAAGGACTAATGGTCTTCTAGTGTTTATTTGGTTCAAATGTCTACATATAGCTCAGGATACCCAATAAAATGCAGTGATTATTTGGTTCAAACGTCACCATATAAACTTAAAAGATCTAATCTTTTTCTAGTGATTATTTGGTTCAAATGTCTACATATAGCTCAGGAAACCCAATATAATGTAGTGATTATTTGGTATACACGTCATCACATAATCTCAAAAGATATAATCTTTTTCTAGTGACTATTTGGTTCAAATGTCACCATATAGTCCCAAAAGAACTACTTAGTCAATATAGTCAAGGTCTACTGGTACTTCTCCTATGACAAGCCTATGTTAAATGTCCATAGGAAATTACATTGGTTGTGGTATACTTTTTCACTAGTACTAGCGACAATGTCACCAGTAAAACACTACAATTTTACTAAAGCTGCTCGCTGCAGGGAAAATATTGCAAGTGTTTTTTGCCTCTCTTTACAGAGTGAGAAATAATTGTTTCTCTTTATATTTTCAATTTAAAATTTTCTGTTTTAAAAACAACTTCGTTGTTAAAAATTAATATTTTGATCAGACAATTCGGAGATATATTTGCACAGTTATTTCAATTATGTTTCATTTTGAAATAAAAAAAATTTATATAATTTTTATTAAAAAAAATTAAAAAAAAAATTTATTAAACACAAATAATAATTTCGGACTTAACATCCTAACCATCTAAGTTGATCCTTTAAAAATTAATACCGATTACCACAGGCTTACATACGCAAATAGTTGAAAAATTTTATGCTGACCAGAAACGCATATCCTGCGTTGGGTCCTAAAATATTATGTCCGTGAATTACAAACAGAATGACAAACATCACATTCTGTTATTTTCCTAATATTGACTAAGAACGTACATATAATTTCAGAGAAATCAAGGGATATGAAAATGTCTAGTAATTTGGAAGGACAATAAATTTGACTAACAATGTGAAATAAATTTCTATTCCTAATATGTGAATTCGTATGCAAATTTTGTCAAATAGAATTCAATTAAAAAAGATAAATCTTAAAATTTATAATTTTTACAAATTCGGAAATATTTGTTCCGAATATGTAGTAAGATATATTCGTGCTCCAATATTTCTTACGGTGTATTCATAAAAATATCCGACAGCACCTTCATCAACGACTGCTCGAACAAAACTAAATATTCTCCCAAAACCAATTTGACAGGAAATTCAAAACAATTTATTTTTTACAATTGTGTTGGTGAACACACAGATATCCCAAGGGATACTCTTTGCCTAGCCTTGATTTAAAGCAATTTTACTTCTCAATTTTTAGTTGCCGAGAATTGAATTTGGTAGAACGATGTCAGCTCATATCATCGAGACGAGCAACAAAAGATGAAATCATGCTTTTGCACAGTGAGGAACATTACAAACTTTTGGAAAAGACATCAGGGGTACATGACGATGAGAAAATGGAAGATTTTAGTTCACATTATGACTCAGTTTATATACATCCAGTAAGTTTCTGCAATACACATTTAAAATGCAAAGCATGTATGGTTTTAAATTGCTCTTTTTGCTTTTGCAGACCACATTTGATTTGTCACTACTGGCAGCTGGTTCAACCATAGATTTAGTAGAAAATGTTGTAAGCGGTACGATACAAAATGGCATGGCCATAATAAGGCCACCGGGACATCATGCCATGAAAGCCGAATTTAATGGGTAAGTTCCATGGTATAATAATTACAGGTAGCAGCAATTCCCCGCTGATTTGACTCTATAGTAATACTAGTGTCAAACACGATATGACGTTTTGTGATATAATTTATTTTTTTTTTTTTTTGATATACAATAGGTATACGCTTTTTTGATATAAAATTTCACTGCAGGGAAATATGAACATATTTTTTGCATAATAATAGAAAAAATTGCCGTTGTACTTAACAAAACGCTAATGGTGATCGTGTGAAAGCTTTTTTTTTTCAAGGTTAAAAAGCGGCGACGCTACATTAGATAATATAGTCGTATATTTCATGTTTCCTAAAATTTCAAAATGTAGAACACTTTATGTGTGTATGCAGTTTGGTTTCAATTTAAAAGGGGGTGTTGCTGTTTTACACGATTTTCTAGAGATAGCTCGAAGTGTTGAGAGATTAGGACCTGCAGCTAACAACTATACATTCAGGGGAATGATATGAAAGCATTCAAATTAAATAATTGATGAATAATTGATTGCATTTTAAATTAAATAATACAAAATTCCAAAAATGTATATTTTTGAAATCAAAATAATCTATTGAAAATTAGTTATTTTGTTTACATTTCTGGACATATAACTCTGACACTTGTATTACGTACAAAAACAAATTTGTATGTGGTTGTTGTTACGATTGTTGTACAACAACACTTGCTGTTACCTGTATTATTCTACCATGGGTAAGTTCGAAGAAAATGCAAAATAAAAAAGGATCTACACTTAATCACGTTTCGTCTTGTCTTTAAAGATATTGCTTTTTCAATAATGTGGCCATTGCTACACAATATGCCTTGGATATACTTAAAGTAAATAAGATTTTGATTATTGATTGGGACGTGCACCACGGCCAGGGAACACAGCGTTTTTTCTATCACGATCCACGGTAAGTCTCACGAAATCAAATTAAATCTAAATAAAAATTTAAAAAAATGTATTTGTAACTGCAGAGTCTTATATTTTTCGATTCATCGTTTTGAACACGGCACCTTTTGGCCGAATCTCAAGGAGTCCGATTTCGATGCCATCGGTTATGGTCCTGGTTTAGGTTATAATTTCAATCTACCACTGAATAAAACCGGCATGACAAACGGCGATTACCTAGCCATATTTCAACAAATTTTAATACCAGTGGCCTGTGAATTTCAACCGGAATTAATAATTGTTTCTGCTGGCTATGATGCAGCCCTGGGTTGCCCCGAGGGCGAAATGGAAGTTACACCTGCCTTTTACAGTCATCTAATAAATCCTCTTTTAAAGTTGGCTAATTCCCGCCTGGCCGTAGTTTTAGAGGGAGGTTACTGTTTGGAATCTTTAGCCGAAGGTGCTGCCTTAACACTGAGAGCTCTTTTGGGGGAACCTTGTCCGGCCTTGGTAGAGAAACTGGAGCCACCGTGTCCCTCCATACAAGAGTCCATTTTTAATTGCATTTATGCCCATCGACCGTACTGGAAGTGCTTGCAAGCACAAGGTACCTATACCATGGAAGACATCAACAATGTTAATCCACAAAATAATTTACACAAAGTAAGCCGGTTGTTTGTCGGAGGTTCACCTCTGCCAGAACGTTTTCCGACAAGAGATACGGCTCCCAAAATTCCACTGGATGTGATTGAGCGCAATGCACAACGTTTAAAAAGACTTAAAGCAGGTATGATGTGAATTTAGATAACAAAAACGTATTTATATTGAATTCTCGCTTTCCCCTCTTCTCAACTCTATTAGAAACCAAATTGTTTTCGCCTAAGGTTCGGGTCTGCTATGTCTATGATGAACTTATGTTACAACATGCCAACACTTACGAAGAGGGACATCCCGAGCAACCTGCACGCATACAAAAAATCTACGAAATGCATCAAGATTACAAATTATTAGAACGCATGCAGAAGCTGCCATCTCGCTCAGCAACAACAGATGAAGTTTGTTTGGCCCATACGAGGTCGCATTTGAACTCGATTCGACGTATTGGGGAAAAGGATGAGCTCCAGAATATGGGTGCCAAGTTTAATTCAGTTTACTTCCATCCTAAAACATTCGAGTGCGCCACACTGGCAGCGGGCTCAGTATTGCAAGTTGTGGACAAGGTGGTTAAGGGAGAGGCACGTAGTGGTGTTTGCATTGTAAGACCCCCGGGCCATCATGCCGAATCTGATGTACCACATGGTTTTTGTATTTTCAATAACGTGGCTATTGCTGCCCAATACGCAATTCGTGATCATGGCCTGAAAAGAGTTCTTATTGTTGACTGGGATGTTCATCATGGCAATGGTACACAGCATATATTCGAGTCGAATCCGAATGTTTTATACATAAGTATACATCGTTACGACAATGCCTCCTTCTTCCCCAAGAGTAAAGATGGCGACTTTGATTGTGTTGGCAAGGGCGCTGGCATTGGATTCAATGTAAACATTCCATGGAATAAGGTTAGCTTTGTAGGCAATGTCATTGCAATTATAATAAATCATTCTTTTTTTGCTACTAACAGAAAGGCATGGGCGATTTGGAATACATAATGGCCTTCCAGCACATAATCATGCCAATTGCATATGAATTTGATCCGCAATTAGTTTTGGTGTCGGCCGGTTTCGATGCTGCCATTGGAGATCCACTTGGCGGTTGCAAGGTAACGCCGGAAGCTTATGGGCTTTTTACACACTGGTTATCGGCACTGGCTAATGGCCGGATAATAGTCTGCCTGGAAGGCGGTTATAATGTCAATTCAATATCATATGCCATGACTATGTGCACAAAGTCATTGTTGGGAGATCCCATACCTCCGGTGCAGTTAAATGGCAGTTATATACGTCCACCTACGGCGGCCTATTTAAGTTGCATCGAAACGTTACAGAACTGCATAAGTGTTCAGGAGCGCTATTGGAAAAGTCTAGCCTTTGGAAAACGGTTACCCCAGGTGTCGGGCGAAAACAACAACGAGGATTTTCTTTCTGCTACTTTACAAAATTTAGATATTACAAGGGATGATGTTCAGGGTGCTGCTGGTGGTTCTGGCGACGCCCAACAGGATATATCTTTAGAGGCAAGTGGCAGTAAACCGAAGGTAAAAGTTAAAACCCTAACAGAATTTCTCACAGAGCACATGCAGGTAATTAACTTCTAACGTCTATGTCAGATTCAAACTTGATTGTCTAATCCCAAATATAACATTTGTCTGTTTCATTTCTTGCAATGCATCGCCTACAATTACTTACTTGACAATTTAAACCAACACAACGTCATTCCAATAGGCATTTGAAAATAATGAAATGTTTGCTGTTGTGCCCTTAAAGCATTGTCCTCATTTGTCACAGCTGCATCCTGAGGATGCGCCAAAATGTAAGCAAGATATATCGACATGATAAACGTTAATGTGTTCTTTTTTAATTTGGTTCTGTGTTTATCGGATTATTGTAATTATAATTTCATTCATTACGCATTCATAGTTCCTATATATGTATTATGCTTCTAACTTCCATATTTTTCATAAGGTAGAGCTTCAAAATTTGTGTTTTGGTGGACTCATACTAATTTTAATACATTTTCTTTGCTTACATGAAGTTTTTTTATTCTCTTGCAGAATTGGAACCTTTTGTTTTGTTAATTTTTCAATCATTTGTCTTCTATTTCTTTCGATTTTATACCCTCCATCTTGAAAAGGAGGCTTTATTAACTTTGTCATTCCGTTTGTAACATCCCTA